CTGAAATCCTTTTGTTCCTAGAAAACTGTGGTTTTCTTTTTTATGCTCCTGAAAAAAAGAAGATGAAATGAAGTGTATTCGAATCCAATATCAAAGGATAATCCAGAACAATTTGCTGGAGATGAGTAAGCCTTCTCTCCAAAGCAAAATGATCAGCACTCTACCTTCGGAAACTCCTTTATTTCAGCCCACTTCCCCTGGAGCCTGACTTCCAGGGCTACACGTTTTGTTTTCCGCGTCTCTCGCTGTGATTATATGCATCTTCCCTCTGTTTCATTCTATCCACGGTGTTTAAATGCTCCTTTTCCAGAGCCTGCAGTTTCCTCTTGTATGTGATGATCAGTTTTTTAGTTTGAATGATCTTCAATTGCAGCTCCTGGCACTTTTCAAGCATTTCTATAAGCAACAACCCCTTGTTTTTTAGGCCTGCGGACCATCGGTGTGATGACAAAACTGGACCTGATGGAGGAGGAGACAGATGCACAAGACATCCTGCTGCCACTCCGCAGAGATGCGATCACACGCGTATTTTAAATGCTATAGTATATTTAAATCCACCCTTGGCAATATACATGCTTACATTTGACACCTGTCCATAGGGTGCTGCTGTTGCCAGCTGTGTGGTTCTGTTTTTGGGGAACCTGCTGATAAAAACCCACTGACAGTCGGTTTTGTGAACATGCCCACTGCTGCCAAATATCTTTATCACTAACCCACATGTTAACAGACTGTAGCCCAGATAGTTTGACACACACACACACACACACACACACACACACGCACAAGAACAATAACCATATATTAAATCCAATCATTTCAGTAACATCTCTATGCATAGCATAGCAAGGGCACAAGGATTTCATCACTTTTCCCAGAAAAACCCTGCTATAACTTTTGTGCACAAGAAAAAGGTCACTTCAGTTTAATGTAATGCACCATGGTATAGAACTACCAAAACAGAAAACAATATCTGTATTGCTACATTTGCAGTGCAGTCATTATAAGGAGGCACCACTTGCAAAAAAGGTAACTCTTTCCTTGCTACTCCTAGCCACACTTATCATCAGTCAGGTGTGAAAGCTTATGTTAAATGCTGAATTATTAAAAATCACACAGCTCCAGTTAGAACAATCCTGCAGTCAGTTTTGATTTAAATATAACTTTTTTTATGCCTTCATCATCTTTTCCCTACTTCAGGAAAAATTTATTTCAAGTTCGACCTCTCATTCCCTTCAACAGTCCAATTGCTCTTCATTTCTCAGTGGCAGTTTTGACATTTAGGATGGCATTTCTGATTGTTGACATTGCAGCGACATCCTCCACTCGTGTCTCCAGGACCCTGGGAAAGAACAAAGAAGAGAAATGTGTGCCCTCTGTGTTTGTATATTCAGTCGTTTCTAGAGTTTATTACCTCTACCTACTACAAGTAGCTTATGTTATTTTTATTACCGGTGTGTGCTTGTGTGGTGGATTCTTCACTCCATATCTCAAAAAGTCATGAATGGATTTTAATGACTTTTTGGAGAGATGGGATATAGCCCACAGACAAATCCATTAGATTGTGGTGCTGATCCAGATCATCATCCTGATCCAGGATTTTTTAAACGATTCTTCACCATCATGAGATAGGCCCAGTTTCAATATTTTTCCTTCTAACTCCAGACATAATGCCTACAATGCTTGAACAAAAACTGCAAGATAATATCCACATATACTGTGCCACATCCAAGATCTACCACACACTAAAGTTTGATCTGTATCCAAGTAATATTCCAGGTGTGCTGATCCAGAAAGCTCAAATTTATTGGGCTCACAGAAATCTCACTATTGTGAGATGACAAATAATGCTACACACTTGCAACTAACACCAAACTGTAGCTGAAACTCTGCTGATTCATTACAGGGTCAATGAGTTTGCGCTAGATCCTGAAGAAAACTGCCATTAATGAAATATTGTTTTTCTTGGATAACTTTCAAAGTACTTAATCAATGTGATTCCAGATGCTCAGGTTTTTATGCTCAAGAAATCATATTATGACGGTCAGACTATCATGGGAATTCTGCTTTTAGGTGGAACGACATTATAGGGAAACTGAACTACCTTGGTGCAGGTCTGCACTCTGAGTGCTGTGTAGTTGAATAATACTACCATTGCACAGAGGAAGACCGTGAACAAAAATGGGTTCCTATATCACAATTTACAAATTTAGAGGGTGCAACAGTTGAGGTAGGTAAATATGGGAAATAACTATGCAGTGAGGATAAAAAAAGGAAATGTTTCTTACCCTTGGTCCCCAGCGAGGCCCTCTGGTTACCCAACAGATCTCAGTGTGACAGACAGTACAACGCAACCAATCACATCCATCCCTCTTCTGCACAATTATGCCACACTGGGGACAGTGCATCGCCTCTCCTGACTGCACTAGACTCTGTTTGAGAAACAGACGGTGAGCAAAGCAATACATCTCTGGACTGCAACATTTCTCACTACTAAGACATGGTTTGTCTTTACCATAGACAAATTCTGTTAATGCTGCTGCAGGAGCAGTGATGACCAAGTAAGAAGAGCTCTCACCTTGAGTAGATGAGTTGTTCTCCTTGCAGCAGAGTCATTTATAGCACGGGCTGCAAGATCATCCTGGTATTGCTTACAGTTCATTCCTTCATGGATAGTCTTAAGGAGAAAAGAAAAACAGATACAAGAAAAGATGGGCTGTTAACCTTAGCAGCAGTTAGCCTGAAGTTACTAGACTACAAATATGACTTCTTTCTCCTCTGTAGATTAACTTGCTTCTCTCAAAGTCAAGTCAAATTTTATTTATAAAACCCAATATCACAAATATCACACATTTGCCACAAGGAGCTTGTAATCTGTACAGCATATGCCATTCATGTGTGTGTGCATATGTAAATATATATATAAATTTCCTACCTTGCATATCAGGCAGTTCTGTTTCCCACAGACAGGGCAGTGGAAGACACTGACTGTGTCCTCATACACACACCAGCCCGGGCAGTCTGGAGTGGCACAGTGATAGCTGCCCTCACATCGAGACTCTGCCACTGACAGGCCTCTCTGTAGCCAGCGCTCATACTCCTCTGCTGGCACCAGCTGTAACGGAGAAAAGGAAAGCCTGTTATAATCTGACTTACAAATATGTAGAACAAAATTAGGTGAACATGACTGCAAATAAACATTATGGATTCTGAAGAGGGGGACTCGATACTGTTTACACAAGCCAAACCTCTACTTCTTATGTACTAAAATTGCGCACACACTTTATTTGCATTTTTTAGGGAAAATACTGCCTCTAATACTACTTTATTTGTTGCCATTTCAAACTAAGGTTTCCACTACACACTTCATGCTTCAAACAGAGGCTACATTAAAATCTTTGCCTGTCTTCAGCAGTCCTGGTTAGATATGGAGGGGCTGGCTAACTGTTGTTTCACCACAGTTGGAGCAGCTAAAGGCTGCCCATGGGAAGAGAAGCCAAATGCTGAGGTGAAAGCCCTTGTTTTTACCTTTGCACATATTGGCATTTGTTTTTATCCTTGCACACAGTGTTCAGTCCTGCACATAATGGTATACCTGGCACACATTACTCAATATATATTTCCTATACTCTTATTTTTATCTTTATTTTTGCAGGGTTTTTTTATATACTTTTTTCTTGTATTTTACACTCTTATACATTTCTTTACTTTGGGTGCTGTGATTTTGAGGTTGCTACTGAATACCCAAATTTATTTATCTATCTATCTGTAACAAGTAGCAAAGCAGCAGTGTCACCTTCTCAGCTGGTACTGACAGTGCTGAGAGGAGCCTTTGTTGATAAATTAAAACATTATGTACAGTTTGATTTAAATATTCTGATACACTAGGATGGTAATACAACAACTAAAAAGGTACTGCATCTTCATTATATATTTTACTTTTTCAAAAATGAACAATCACATATAGTATATATGAAAACATAAATCACATAAAGAGTACGAAATGAAGAGGTCTTAAGTTGGTGTGTCAGAACAAAGACATGTTGGTGTAACTCACAGCTCTGATCTCCCTCTCCTGCAGCGAGCAGGTACAGGAATACGTGTCATCTCTATAGGGACAGGACACCTCGGGATCCTCACTTAGCATGATGACTGAGCGTAAGCACTCTCTGAGCAGGCACACACACAAACATGGAAAACTCAGTATCATGGGAAACATCCAGGAAAAAAAAAAAACTTCTACAAAAACACTCATCCTACCAGCAGCAGCTGCAAAGCCTCTCTCTGCTTCTCTCCCTTGAAATGACAACCCCTTTCCACCTGTTTCACCCACTTGCTGAATCTTACCTACAGAAACAGTGGAGACACTCCCTGAGCAGGACACCCTCTCCAGGCGGCAGCTCTACATAGCAGATCCTACAGTCCACAGTCTCTGGATTAGGCACCAGGTCTTGGCCATCCAGTATCATCAGCCGAGTAAAATTCTCCCTGCGCTCCGCTTCCCTTGCCTGGGGTGGTGTTGTTGTGAGAGTTACACACACACAGGATATTATGCAAACTAGTACTCTTCAGTCTTTGTTATAGGCGCACAATGACACTGGTACTGTGGACAATTATACTCCCCCCCCACACACACACATACAGGCATTTACACATGCAGATACACACTGTGTATAAACATTTTATTTTCACCTGTTTCACAAAGTATATACATTTAGTGCATAATCTAGGATAATACATTCACTTTATTTGCACCCGCTCCCCATTATGAGTTCATCAAAAGCCACTCAAACAGTGATCCTGATTATCCAGCTGGATGGATTAAAAAAAATAAAATAAATCACATAGTCTTATTCGAGCCCGACTGATAATTAGTAACAGGGATAAATAAGTTCATTGTTGTATTTATATGACAAAAAAAAAAAAAAAATCTGTCAATAATGGCCTCAGAAGTTGGTCAGGCCCTTCATTTCACCATAGCAGTGTTTGCACATTTTCATAAAATATGAAAATTGTTTTCGTACAGCACTCTACTGTAGGATTTCATGCAAAACACTGGAGCATGGGACAGAGTCATTGTCTTGCAAGTCTTAAGTAAGTCTCAAGTCTTGACTACAAAGTCCTGAGTCAAGTCAAGACAGACAAAGCTCTAAATTTTATGCTTATAGTCCTAAAAAATTCATCATATGCTGTGCACCAAATCATTGCCCCTTTACATCTTTTAACAAAGTAACCAGTTCAGTAAATGTGTATAGTACAGAAAACCTGATTGGAACAGCTTCTGGGTTCAAACCGGCTGGTCGACAAAAACACTACAGCATTGAGTGGAACCGTAATTGTTGATCCCAGCCCATGATAAACCACAAAATTAGTAGAACAGCAGAAGATAAAAAATGTTTACTAAATATATATCTAACACATCAAAACAGCTGTAGTCTACTAACTTGTACTGCTAATTTTTCACAAGCTAATTGATCTAAATTCCAGAGGCTCTGATTCACAAATATTAAGTTGATGCAATATAAGTGACAGTAATATTGCCTTTAAACAACATAAGTGGCAGGAGTGTTCTCACCCTCCATAAATTGCAGGTCACGGCTGTGTTCTGGATGGTTATTCCCAGTAAAATGCTTCAGGTTGAAGCTTTCACAGTGGCAGATTTTTGAGCCATCTGGTAAATACTGGTACATCCCATACATTCTGAATAACATTTTTGAACTGTTGGATTTTTCATTTCTGGTGGACTCACTGTATCAGTTGATTCACTGGACACTACAACTTAAATTTGAATGTTTAATGCCAAGTGAAAGGGCTTAAGTCCAAGTGAAGTCACGAGTCACTAATTAAAGTCTGAGTCGAGTTGAAAGTCTTTATCAAGTTGAGTCTCAAGTCATCAGAATCACAACTGATTTGAATCTGATTTAAGTCCAAGTCATGTGACTCAGGTCCCCAGCTCTACAAGGGTTGCACCTGTAGCACCACCTGTAAATGTTTATTTGGCCAATACAGGTTTCGATGGCATCACTGCATCTCAAATGAGCTTGTTAAATTACATCCAGCATCAAGATAGAAATAACAGAACCATATGCATATCAGTTCAGGAACGTATGTACACATTCATTCAGAAATGATTACTTAAAAAGTAATGATTACTTAAAAGTGGGTGTCTTTATCAGCGCAGTGAAAACGGTTCTACAGGTTCAACTCTCTGTGAATAAAAGTAAACAAATAAACATGGTGTGCATGTATTTGTGTGTTCAGTAGTCCTGGTCCCGGTTATATAGGAGTGAGTTGTTTTGAGCCCCAGAACTCCTCAGCACCTCTATTCTCCCTTTCTCCTTCAAAAAACAACAACAAAAAAAAAAAAAAGGAGAGTCTATTGCAATCTCATGTGGAGTATCCATGACATTGCAGAAGACCATCTGGCAAAGGTAAGAGAAAACAGTCAGGTTAAGTAGTCTAGGTAATTACACAATGATGAGGATTAATGGGCTGTAGTGCCATTCGCTGCACTCAGAAACTGACAAAGTAAAGGCCACAAATGAGTTCTGACCATGACATAAAGCTTCTATAATACATATAATATTTCTTGTTGTCTCCTCTCTCCCGTAGTGAATCTTTAATCTTATCTTGATCTGTTTATAGTAACATTTCTGTGTAATTGCTACTAAATAATTTCAATTTGAGCATGTTTGGTCAAGCTGTTAGTTCTCTATTCCCTATTTATTCCAAGTACATGTGGGGCAAAACAACTGCTGTGTCATGCAAACATGTATGAGTGCATGTATGTCTGTGGGTGCACAGCATGCTCAGTGTATTTTTCCTACCTGCTGATACTGTCTGATAGCCTCCTTCTCCTGCTGGATCCGTCTGAGTTCCAGTACATCAGGTCGGTATTCCCCAGGGATGATGTAATTCTCAGGACGATTTGTGCTGCAGATCTCACAGCCTGGCCGAGTTGGTTTGTTAATATAAGTGCAAGAGGGGCACGACCAGCCCTGAAACACAGAGCAGCCCTTTAATTCTCTGCTTTTAATAGCCTAGTTGAACTCTGCCTTTGTTTTTTACATTAAAGAAACACTCAAACACTTGTGGTGTATTACCTGGGTGAAACCTGTATTGGAGTTCAGTGCTTCATTGAGTTGAGGCATCTCTAGGTTGATGAGATCTCTAATCTCAGTTATGTTCCTTCGCTCTGATCCACCTGAGCCATTAAAGGAGAGTAAAGCATGTAATAAGAAACCAGTAACGTGCAAGGGAACGCGTATTGTGTGTGAATGTCCTTTCATCTGTATGCATTAAATGGCCTTTGATACATGTACTACATGCAAATGCAAACTCCTACACCAAAACCTCTGTCAGTGCTCGCCAGTGATTGCTTTACTGACCATTTATTTTATGTTTTTTGAAAATCCATTAGAAATAGGTCTATGCAAATGACAATTGTCAAATGTAATATACTGTATTATGTTAGACAGATTTTCAGAGTACTTCCACTGCTTATAAATTAAAAATGTATTAAATTCTAACACAAAAATAAAAGAGTGTAAGCTGTATGTCTCTGCAAGCTGTTTTCACTGGATTGTTAAAACCATTTGCTGATCTTTCTTTGTGTTGCTGTCCGAAGCACTATATAATGAGGGATAATCTCATAAGTGCTCAAAAAAAAACTGACAGGGCCGGCTGTGACAAACCCATATATTAAAACCCTAACTCACCACTGTTGCTGTTGGTATGGACTCTGGGAGGCAGGGTGATGTAAGATCTCCTGTCCTGACATGTGGAGCTGTTTGCAATGGTAGCAGTGAGGGCAGGGGTGTTGAGCGACAGTGATGGGGGACTGACGAGAAGGGCGCTCTCCTGGTCCTGCTGGAGGACTTGGAGCGTCAAGCGAGCATGGCGGGCTGACAACAGGTACAAGAAAGCTGTGTCACCGTCCTGACGAACACCATATGAGGCCAGAGAGCGCTCGTCGCTGCACAGGCACTGGCCAATCACCCAGCGCTGCACCCGTGGGTGAAAGCCATACTCTAGAAACATCTAAGGTTGTAGAAAAGGAAAGAAAGCAATAAAGAATGGCAGTGGAGGAAAGAAATACAAAAGGGCAGAATAGTAATGATACCATGAGGAGAAACATTCTTCAGACTAACCTGCTGCTTCAGTGCTGCAGTAGTCATATGCTGGAAAACTTTCACAGTGACACAACAGGATGAGGAAGAGTCTTCAACTACAACAGTCAAACTAAATAAAACACAAGGCATCATCAAAAGTCGAGATTATACCTGATATATTTCTTAAAGAATAATTACTGAGCATCAGTAATGTTTTGAAATGTTAAAATCATATTTATTAATCATATTCCTACTTGATTTCAGTGTCTTCACAGTCTTTGGCAGAGGGCTGAATCTTGAGCATAGCATGTTGTCGGGCAAGTGTGGCAGCAAAGACAGAAGCAGACTGCATGTCACCTGCCTCAATGGCTTGGGTCAGCTCTATGCAAGTGTCCTCTGCAGATGGACACATACGTGGCACATGCACAGGAAACACAAACAAACCCACACAGGTGAACATACAGTACAGACTAGTGTGCACAGAGAACAACTAACAACGATTCAGTGAATGAATAAATAAATGAAATGAATCAACCAATGATTAAACATTACATCACAGTAGGATGTTCAGCGTACACACCTGTTTGTTGCAAGGTCAACTTCTTCTGCGGATGGAGACCATCCAGGGGCTGCTGGGGACCTTTATGTAGAGGGGCGACTACAAATGAAAAACAGAAGAATTTTAGACAGAAAGCAAAACAAGCAAGTATAGGCTGAACTATTTTACTCTGTGTTGATACAGGAATATTAAATTTTATCTTGCTGAATCATGTGGCAATAGATTTTTTTAAAACAAAGAGCAACACAGTAAACAACAAGGTCAATGTTTCATGCAGATCTGAGATGTGTACTCAGGTGTTATTATCCTGCCTGTCTATGTCAGTTTATATGCCTAACAAGAAAGTCAGCTTCCAAAAAAAAAAAAAAAAAAAAAAAAAAAAAAAAAAACACTCCATTTCTCAGATAGGAAATAATCTTGACATTGTTCTAGCATAACTCTAACTCTACTGACCTCCCTGAAGTATGTTACGATACTTCTAGACTGGCAAAGAAATGTAGTCCTTTAGGCATTTTATACACCTAGTCCTAAAGATCTCTTCCCAGCTGGTAAGGCTGGATGGATCAGACCAGTGAAAAGCTCCTTTATTCAAATAAAAAAAATAAACAGTTTGACATGTCACCCTTAATCTAAGCTCACTACAGTTCACTCATTCCACCAACTGAGAATACACAACAAATCTGTCCTACAACATTTTAATATAGGTTTGAAAATGCTCACATGACCTTGTTGCAAGAAGATATCCAAACCTTCCCCTATGTTTCATCTGTCAACGCTGCCTAACAGAAATGCAAGTATTTGGTGAGATGGGTGGCTGACCTCTGTGTGCTTCTCTCAGTGAAGACATCATTACGGTAGCCCACTCGTGGGCAACCTGCTCAGAGAGGAAATTGAAGGAGATGCGATCATGTGGAGGCGCTTCCAGACTCAGCTCATGGCACTTAGGTGATGTCACCTCATAGTTCACTGTCCTTAAATCAAACTCAGCAATGGTCTGGGGAAAAAAGGGAGAGACAGGAGGAATGAGGAGAGGAACTAAACATAAAGTTCCATTATACTGTAACAAAGCTAGGCTTAAAAGCAGATGCAGTTTTATGTGCTCTACCTCACATTTTGAGATGCTTCTAATATGTTCCACCCTATTTATAATAAGTGTGGAATGCAATTCAGTAGTACCACTAACTATAGTCTCCAAACTGACCATAAAGCTAAATCCAAAGCAATATGAACCTACTGAAGGTAAAGTAACTGCCATAAGTATCCAATAGCTACTCAAAAACCTGCTTATTTCAGGCTTGGCAGTGCATTGTGTGATATTCTCATTGCACCTTCTAGTAAGCTACATATCAGCATCCTTCGAGTTGAACTCAGAAGATGAACAGCTGCCTGCAAGTGCAGCAGCCTGAACCCTTTGTTCTCAATCAGTGAATTCTAATCTGAGGGTCAAGAGCCCATTAGGAGGTGAGAGGTTATTGCTTAGTGCTCCCTAGATTAATGAGATTAAACAACTGTGTTGCTACACCAAACTATATTATTTGCAGGAAAAAATGCTATATTATTCTATTATCTTTTTTTCTTACTTCATTTTTTTCTAACCAATTTGTTGGTTTCTGGTGAAATACAGAACAGTTTTACCTGTTCATGGCTGTAAAAAACATTCAATATGCACCGAAGAAATCAAAACACTTGACTAGAGGCTGTGTCTTATGTCAAACTTTAAATACTTGTATTATTTACTATGCATATTTCTATATAAATCTGTTGGTCAAATCACCACAAACTAAACACAGCAGAACAGGCCCAAGCTAAGATATAAACAGATAAAGCTGTCATGGCATTGGGAGGATACCTAAACAGGTAACATACATAAGGTAAATACAGTGTAAAAACAAAGGCACCCCATTAGCAACCTTTACACCCAACAGGTTATTCCAGTCCTGGACACAAGCCAGAAATTTGGAGGACCACCCACTGTTACAGTGGCCCGACTTTAACTGACGTTTGGTTTCATTTCATCTTTATACACCAAGTCTTGACTGTTAGTATGGACTCATGTAACACTAATTAAATGGTTTTCCTCAGACAAGGTGTTCCCCACTGCAGCCCAGCACTACTCTTGTGAGGCTGCCGTGAACTCACCACACTCCGGCCAGTCTCGCTGCTGTCCTGCAGCGCCAGCCGGAAATCCCCGGATTTCCCCTGGTCCATGCTGAGCTGCAGGCGGAGTGACTCACAAGTTGCCCCCGGAAGACACAGCGGCCGAATACCGGAATGACACACCGATACCCGAACCGACATCAGGACGGTGTGGCAGCCAAGTTG